AAGACACTGAGGACAGTGAGGACCATGAGGACACTGAGGACGGTGAGGTAAGTAAAGACAATGATGACAGGAACCACCGGAACATCGAAGCGACGGAGGACAGTGAGGAGCAGCAGAAAAATAACTGCTTCCGACGCGTCTGGTCTTGGATGAGGAAAACTTTCTGCTGCTGCGCGCCCGATGTGACGGACTGAGCAACACCGTGAGTGTCAGTTGTCTTTGCCATCAGTATTTATTTGTTGGGTTTCTTGCTATAATTTCGTCGTCACCTTACCATGCCAAGTGTCTTAAGATGACATGTTATGAATTGGCAGTATATAAATTAGGATGGTAGTGTTGGACAATATGTACTTTAATATTTTGAAGTACATAATAAAAATATGTTATATGTAAATTTAGTAGATATAATAGACAGTACATATATATATAAAGTCAGACAGACATATTGCCAGTAAGAGATGGCTTACTTCATCTCTCGTTGCCCATTATTCCAAGATAATGTGGCAATAAATTGCTAGACACTTTAAGGTATTATTTGTAGCTAACTTCAGCTACAAAAGCTAGCTAGTTTAGGCTAGCATTAGCTATAGCTGTGCTTAAACTACAGTAGCTTGTAGCCAATTACTTTAGTTCTTAGCTAATTGTGATTTTAAAAAAAAGAAGAAGAAGAAGATATATCAGAATGATACTGTCGCAGTGCTAAATTAGATCGACAAATGAATAATGTAAGTTACATAAATAAGTTTAGTGCTCTGTCTGTCTGTGCTGTATGGAATATGCAATGTGTGATTTTGGGGGGGGGGACTAATGCCAAAGACAACTCTTGTAGTCCTCAGTGTCCAACTCTGGATTGGATTCACTTTCCGGACCTGTGGTTCCGGGCCTCATGGATCCTCTACTGTCCTGTTCTCTCCCCCCTTTACCCTCACTCCAACTGGTCGAGGCAGATGACCATCCCCCTAGAGCCTGGTTCTGCCGGAGGTTTCTTCCTCAAAGGGAGTTTTTCCTTCCCGCTGTCGCCACGTGCTTGCTCGAAGGGGAATGCAAAGGAAACTTTGGATTGTTGGCTCTCTTTCTACTATTTGTCATATGTTCTGAATTGGCAGTAAATAAACAAACAAATACAACTGGATTAAAAAATGAAGGTTTTAGCAAAAAAAAAAAATGTCAGAGTTTTGGTCACATGATTGTTGCTCACAACCGGTCAGTCATGGCTTCTCAGCTGAGGTGTAGACAGGAGATCCTTTTTTTTTTTTAACAACAAACACCACTAAGTACAAAACCAAGTATTGTTGGCAAATTTTTGAATGACACATTTTGAATAAAGTGATCACAAGTAAATATGACAATTTAAATGTTAATGTTTTTCTATGAAACCACACAAAACCGATGGTATTTATTACAGTGGGAAAGTTGAAAATCTGAAAATTCTGGCTGCTCTGAGAGTTTTCATGTCCAAAAACGTGTGGATTTTGGAGATTTTGAAAAAACAACCCCAAACATTCTTTTCAAGCACAGTGGTGTTTAAAGGGTTAACAGTGACAAACATACCTCCTTGCAATGAGCCTGGTTTAAACTCTTAAAGTTGTTTTTTATGTGTTCCGCAACTTAAAAACACAAGTTTACAGAATGTTTTTTGCAATCAAAATCTGAAAGCTATCAGTCCTAACCGTTTATAGTCCTTCTTCCATTTTTATTGTGTAGGATCTTTAGCAGAGCTCATTGTTTGCTCAGTTGGGAGGCACTTCCTGAGCTGGTTTGTCATGGCAGGGCTCCTCCCTGTTCCACACTGTTCTCTGAGTCTTACTTTGCATTTCCTTCACTTAAAGGCTTATATCATGACTCTCAACTTTTCCATGAATTTTAAATTGTGTCTTCAATACATTCAAAACTTGGCACGACAATTAACGAATATAATTCGGTACAGCAGGTAATTAGGGACAGCTTGTGAATAATTTGTTCCTTGGTGGTCTCACCAAGACTTTTACAAATGAGCACAGATTGATCCTTCCCTAAAGAAGCCCTGTTTACACACAGGTAACATCTGCCTGTTGTTTCTATGGTAATCTTAGTGTCTAAGTTGGCCCAACAAGCTGTTAAAAGGAATTTTCCTTCAATATTTAAGCATGTTTTCCCAACCGACCACTCATTTATAATTCAACAATAGTTTGTAAATTCATGAGGGAAGCTGTTTTCGTTGATAGCTGTTTGTTGCTTTCTTCTTGCCGGGTTGAAAGCTGAGACTCTGCGTGCCGTGCCTTTTTAGTCTTTTCACTATCTAAGTCTGCTGGGGAGGCCGCTGTCTCCATACTAAAAGCCTGCTAATTCAATCTGTACATGTACTGCTGCATTGTCTCTTAATTGGTTGTAAGCTGAGCAGGAAAGACATTTGTAACAATATACGGCAGAGGCAATTAAATAAAACGAGGGAATGTCAAGCGAGGATGAATATGAATGTGTTTGTGTTCTAGAAGTGATTAATATTAATTGGAGGTGGTTTTTTTTTGTTTCAAAACATTATTTATCCATTTTCAGAACGCACATAGCAAAGCTTCATGCAGCAGTAAAAAGAATGCACACGGCCGTTTTCAAAAAAATCATAAAATCAGGTTGTCGATGCGTTTTAAAATGCAACTTTGAAAGAAATGTTTTAACTTGAATCCTCTTTGTTTGCAGCTGTTTTGCAATTCTCTTCCTCATTCACGATAAATCTTTGTCACATTAGACATTTTGCACTTGTCATGGTGCTCAAACGAACATACTGCCTCCTACAGGCAAGAGAATGCAACAGCAGCTGTTCTATTCTTCTCTTTGTAGCCGTCAAAGAACTGGGGAGACAAATGTTCCACCTGTCAGGAGTCACAGTATATTGTAGACGATGCAAAGTTCGCAAGACTTTCTTCACTGTTACTTCCTGTCATGTCGCTGATTTACAATGTGAATTATTAATCAAACAGTCTCTGACAGATAAAGTTTACTGACCCAACCTGCCTGGTGGTCACAGTCCAGGTTTTTGATCATACAAAGAACCTTTTCAATGGCGGACACCAGCTAGCCATCGCCCCTGTCTGAGTGTTGTCGCTAACCTTGTGCATCCATCCATGGCCACAGTTTTCATCTTCTGACGCCTGCTTCCAGCCTTATAAAGCACCACGTCAAACCAAAAGTCTCAAACTGGTTTCACTACAATTCAGTTGGCCACCAGATCCAAATCCAGCAGTACATCTTTGCAACATAGCACAACAGGAGACTGACAAACATAAATGTGGAGCTGACAGGATGAAGTGTCGATGAATCGTGTGTAATCCTTGAAACCACGACCGTCAGACCAAAAGGAGGTCAGTGTTGGTTCCTTATAGCATGTACATTGAGTGTATACAAAAAAAACAAGACTTCAAAGATTTTTTTTTGGTTATCTGAATGATAATATACACCCACAGCATACAATCACGAGTCTTTCTTCAAGCTTAACTTTGCTATTTACCTCAGAAACAGGTTTCAGAATAGACGTGGGGTTTAGAGAAAGACAGTCTAAATATAGTGGAAAACCCCTGACTATCCAATAGAACAAAACATCATTACAGTTGAGTTTGTTTTGATCCAAACTGCAATTTTTGTTGCACCAATTGTGGCTCTTTTTAAAGAACAGTAGATAAATCAATTCAGTGGCTGACAGAGTTCAAACTTCATTTTGTGCAGTTTTGGAAAAGCCCTGAAAGTATCTCAGCTTCAAATATCCTTCTCTGCCTCACACGTACACCTCATCTGTCATACAGGCAGTATCCAAGCAAGTCAGAAGAATGTGTATTTGGTAATCACTGCCATCGATAGTCGTGTTCTGTGTGAGGGTTTAGAGGGACGAGTGTTCGAACAGGATGACCGTCGATTGGCTGGAGAGGCTGGAGAGCCTGGAGGGCCTGAAAGCTCCGATCCGAGAGTAAACATCTACGTCTGAGCAGGCGCCCCATGACAGGTGAGGGCTGGGCGGGATGGTGTGGATCACAGGCAGGGGCAGAGGCAGGGACAGGACGGCCGGTGCTGGAGGGACGGTGGGTGGAGGGTGGACGGGTGGAGGTGGTAGGACGGGAGGGGTGGGGAGCGGCAGTGCAGATGGCGGCGGTGCAGGCGGAGGCGGCAGTGGGGCGATGACGGCAGGCGTCACCGTGGTTATGGTTTGGATCGGCGGACTGGCCTCGGGGACCGTCCCATTCTTGGTTGGCAGCTCCTGACAAGGCGTGGGCTGTTTGAGGGTGTAGGTGGCGGTGTGGTAGAAGCTGTAGTACTCCAACGCGTGCCTCGCCCTCGCCAACCTCAACCTGCAGAACACAACGCCAAATGAATGTGGCACAAGTTGGCGCAACTTCTTTTTTTTCTGTTATCTACCAGATAAAAGTCTCACTGAGCAACTCCACAACATGACATTGCTATACGACTCGACTGCATTCTCACAATGTATTTACTGTCCAAGTACATTTGTAACATATCACAACTACATTTCTAACTGAGCAAGTATTTTGCTGCTTTACAGTTTCTTCTCTTCAGCAAACCAATCGTGTATAAGTTGGGATGTGACTTGTCACCTTGGTTGCCCAGAGACTAGAGAAAAAGCTTCAAACATGTCGTGTAATGGTCGTATTTTAACCCAAACCAGGTTCCTCATGGATCATCAGTGTGTACACACAGATATGTGCGTAGAGCGTGCGTACGAACATTCCTACGCAAGTATGGAATTTATCAACTTAACTTATACTTAGGATTGTGCGTAAATATCCACACACCTCTGACCATGTGTACGCACATAATTTAGCGGTAGAACAGTGAAACTACAAATAGAAGGCATTCAGGGATTTTGACCACCGGTACATTCCAGTGTGAGGTTGGAGACGTATGTGGCACTTCCCAGCCACCACTGAGCAGGATCAAGCCGGCAGTGTTGGATGCCATAACTCCCCTGGCCCCAGCCTACATCCAGCTCCCTTACAGCCATCACCGATGGGACTTAACACCGTCGCTGGATTCCCAAACATAAGTGGAGTCATAGACAGCACCCACATCACAATCAAAGCAGCATCACTAAATGAACTTAATTTTGTAAATAGAAAAGTGTTTCATTCAATCAACGTACAAATAATTTACGATGCACATTTGTTGCTATCCAACATTGTGTCCCGGCAGCTTGGAGGGACGCACGACTCATTCATTGAGCAGAACAGTTCTGTGGGTCTCCAAGCAGGAACTGGCTTATTGGTGAGTGTTACAAAGTGTGGAAATGTTTTAGCTGGACTTAGTTTGGTTTCTAAAACATCTCATCTGTAGTGATCAGGGTGATCCACTGGGTGAACGTTTGGTATTAATTCGTCCTCCTCCAGTTGCAGTCATTTCTCTTTTATGGGCTGTGATGCGTTTTTTGGCACTGAGCTTAACATCAAGCCACTTTTTAAAAAATATTGCCGGCGATCTCTCCTCTGACCCAACAGCAATAACTGCAGTGGTTATCTTGTCCCATGCAGCATTTTTTCCTTCCCTTCTTATCCCAACATTTCACGCACCAAACAATATTTTCTGGTTTGCTTCAACCTCACTGACAAGGACCTCGATCTCAGTTTGAGAAAAGTTCCTGTTTTTTGCCCTTTTTGCCACGATGATGACGACAGATGAGAAAAAAATAAATCTTCACTTGCTTTATTAAGAGGCGTGTTGTTGCCGTAAATGGTGATTTGGAGGCGTTTCAGAATTTAGAACCTTTTCTATGAACTGATGATAAATGAGGCCCCGGGACATTTTTTGCTAACCATAGCAAGTTTATTTTGGTGGCTATCCTGAACCAAGCTTCTAACATGCAAGTGTCTAACAAGGTGTGATCGTTTCCAAAACCTAAGTTGTTTTTGTGGTGAAACCACACCAGAAAGGGTGTTAAGACCTGAAAAGAAACAACGGCAGGAAACTAAAGCTTAATTCTGAGACTAATGGTCTCCCATTCATCATGAGACATAAACTCTGGTCCAGTTGCTGGTTCATACCACCAACCACCCCTCTTATTTTTCAAACTTTTGCCACCTTGTCACAGGTCAAGCGTCCTTTCAAAACACAAGTGAGAGAGCAGGTTAGTTGTAAAGGAACATCATTTTGTGGAGACTGGTTTCTACCAAGAAGAAACAACAATATAAATCTCACTTTGCTACATCGGCTTCAGAGTCAGGATGTGGTTATTCTACCTTAGCACAAAGACAGTTTCCTAGATTCCGTCCCAAGAGAAATTCATCCACGTCTTAGTAAAACAGTTATTGCACAAAAGAGCTAACTGGCAAGTATCTGCTGCTGGTAACGGAGTCAACCAGGAACATGTAGTGCATAGTACCAGTAAAACCAGTATTCTGTACTGGTTTGTTCGCTCCTTTGCAGCACTTTCTTCTTGGGATTGGGCACGATTCCATCCAAGACATGGTTCTGAAATGCACAAGTCTTTTAGCTGCCATGCTAACTATTCCTCTTGCAGTTTGTGCTCCGACGAGGTTGAAATAAAATGCACTCTCACAAAACACAGCTAGTAAATTATAGCTTCCTCCCTTTTGGACTCTGTTTAGATGCAAAGTTGGGGCTCAAACTTTTGCCATTTTAAATAATTAAGATGGGCTAATATTACCACGGTGATAATGTTGAAGGTAATAAATGCCAGGCTTGTGATCTTAGTTTAGTATGTTAGCATTTGCTAATTAGCACTGAACATGGAATGCAACTGAGGATATGCTTCCATTCTGACCAAAGTAAATTAAAGTTTGGCATAAAATGAAACTGGAACCAATGAGTTGAACATTCATTTCTCACTTTCAGTGGAGCTCAAACTTACTCAGAAAGTTCTCTTCCATCATATGGCACAGCTAAAGGTGTGGATGTGTGGATCCCATATTTCTTTTCTATACTTTGTTGTCATGTTTGTGTCTCAGCTGGGTTAAAAAATAGACACTTTCACTTTTATGAGGGACTGTGCGCAGACACAGCATGAAAGCATTTTGGTGGGACCTGATCTCAGGTATGTTGTGTCTTATTCCTCATGCACTCACCTGTGTCTCAGCTTTAAGAGTCTGTACAGCAGCAGCAGGATTACGGCTCCTGCCAGAGTCACCAGAAGCACCGCCACCCTCACATCCAAGCTCCAGCACGATTTCCCAGCAGGCCCAGGTGAGCTGCAGCTCCTGGGAGGTTGTGGAGTCTGCAGCTGGAGAGGTTCCTCCATACCCCGCTTTGGATTGATGATGGCCTGGGCCAGGACGGGGTGGATGGTGTCCAGCAGGATCGGGTGTCGGCTCCTGAATATGGCGCTGGCCGGCTGGGGAGGGATCTGGAGAGAGGTGGTGCTGGTGCCCTGATGACCGGGCTGCATCGCTGCAGGGTTGGATCCAGGAAGAAGGAGCGCTGCCGGATGAGAATCACTTCTTCATGTTGTCTCAGAAATGTGAGCAGGAGTCTTCAGGAGGCGGCTTTTAGCAGCTCTGTGACATCAAAGAGTTCTTAGTCGCCTCAGATTTCAAAGTGATCCTTTTAATAAATTATAAAGAGAAATTGTCCCCCTATGCCATGTTCCTTCTGACACTGTGCATTGTTAAACATTGCCGATTTACAAAGCATTACCACTCTTTTGTCGCCTTTGTGGCGTGATATAGAAGTGCACCTGAGAGTGTGTCACAGTTCACTCCAGAACACACACACTGAGGAGTTTCAACCTGAGAGGCCAGTGAAACGCTGTTTCAAAATCTGTGCTTCGTTACTGTTTGATGGCTTGAAATCTGATTCATCTAATCTAATCAAGAATATTAAAATCTTAAACTAACTTGAACAACTTTCAGTGCACCCCTTCTATAGTTAAACAGTTACAAAGCCCATTGCTTTGGCCAGAGAAACAAGATATCGCAATAAATTCCACATATCATGAGCTGTTATTTGCAGATAAGTCTGCTATTCATCACTACTTTTATAATGTCTCAACATACTGTCAGCATCACTGTGTATTTTTTTTAACTACATGAAAAATTAAACAGAAAAAGCCAAGAGAGCTACTCGTGGTAAAACTTAACTTTAACAATAGTGATTTCAATGATAAGGCTAATAATCTTGGTTTATTTTAATATAATTTGCAGTTGCAAGTGCCTTTAGACAAGAGAATTTATCGAAATGTTTTATATAGGTGAAAAAAATCCAACTATTTCGGACAAACATGGTATTCATGAAAGAACCATGTACAAAAAAAAATGACAAGAAATTTTAGACTTACGTCATTCAACTGTGACAGCGCTGCTGCAGGTAAATTCATTAGAAAAACAAATGTACAGAAAAAGAAAACGAATGAACACGACATGAGCTCCGGTGAAGAACTGTGGAGCTTTCCAGGACCCAATGCAGAATCCTGACGGCACACCAACGGGGAGGAAGCCAGTGAAAACAGCAGGAAACAGTGCACTTCCCCAACACACAATACAAAAATGTGATTGGAGAGCACTTCCTATCGCCATGGTTACAGGAAACCGGTCAAGGATATCTTTTTTTTTTTTTTTCCAGGCCTTGAGTACGAGTCTGAACAAAACACACAGATGTGAGCACACAGACTGAAACTCCAGAATAATAGATGACACGGGGTCTGCTGAGGAGAAGCAGTCCTCATTATTCTTCAAGTATTTTGGACAAGCTCTAATACATCCTCTAAATATCGCTGCACATCCTTCACCCGTGTAGGATAAAAAGGAAAAAAAAAAAAAGCAAATTAAGCTTCTTATCACGCGTCATGCAAGTCGATACAACAAAGACGGACTCAAACAAGAACAAACAAACACAAAATAGAACCAAAATAGAGCCGCATGACCTTTAAATCAGAGGTTTATCTTGAGTTAAAAAACGAGAGCTAAATGAACAAAAGCAGCTTCAAAGTGAAAGGGAAACTGCTGTTTCAGTGCGTCTGAAACAGCCCACATTAGTCCAGGCCAGCGCGGGTCAACAGATGCAGAGAGATGGTGGCCGCCGTGAAAGGCTGGACGCTATCTGATTGAGCCGGCATTCAGGGGACGAATAAATGACACACGGGCGCAGAAAGAGGCCCGGTCCAGCTCTCATTTATCTGTCTAATAAGTTTTGATGCCGGGCCAAGCCGAAAGGGAGAAACTCTTAGCTCTCACTCAATATCCCTGCCTGGCACCCTCACAATCCTCTGATATTGAAGAAGGGAGTAATATTAAAAGATCTGTTATCAGAGGCCCAATTGTGGTTTAGGGAGGAGGTGATCCGCCCAGACAACCTGCCAGGAAAGGAGTCAGGAGCTGCGTTGTTTCTTAAAAAACACAGGCGATAACAGAAATACGTGCATTCTGTCTGCCTGATGTCATCAGTTAGTTTATTTAATGTGTCTTTAAATTTGGACTAATGAGGATAAAGTCTTGTTGCAGAGGAGCAGGCAAAAACAAAATGAACACAAGGGGCTGCTGAATCGTTTCCTTTACCTGGATGGATGGACAGGGGCATCTTGTGGTTGGATCATCTGCACACATCACCAGTAATGGGAAAAACACTATTAAGTGGTAATTAAAACTCGAGCTTTGTAGGAATTGACACACAAAAAAGTAATTTGCATTCGTTATGTGACCGCGTCCTTCACTGCACATTGGCAAGTTTCTTAATTAAACTAAATAGTTAGTCATGTATATTTTTTAAAAATGCAAAAACATCACATACATGAGTGACAAAGTTCGAGTGTTGACGGTGATGGTGCCGCTGAAGGCTGAAGATGATGAGGCCGATGAAGATAATCATTATTGCAGTGGTTGTGATGACAACAGTGAGGACGATGGTGCCAACAGGGATGCTAACAACCGATGACTGTGGTGAAAATGATTAGAACACACAAAAGATGTCGAAGAGGCTGACAATGAGGATGATGATGAGGAAGATGACAGAGGTATTGATAATGTCCATTTTCTTCTATTTATCTGGGTCACGGTGGCAGCAGGCCAAGCAGGATTTGAAATGCTTTCCAGCTCCATACCAAAGTGTTCCCAGGCCAGATGAGATATGCAATCCCTCTGGCAAGTTCTAGATGTGCCTAGGAATCTCCTGCCAGTTGGACACACAGATATATGTAATAAAGGCTGGATGTCTCGTCCACGCTGCCGGCCAATGGAATCGCACGGCCACACTGGCGGCCATCTTGGTACAGTCCGCTTGCTCACCCATAACATTGTGTTGTAGTGGTGCATATACAAATAACCATAACTTGCTCAATTTTCTACCGATTTTCAAACGGTTTGGTTTGTTATAAATGTCAGAGGTGGAGTTATAACACTGCACTTATGGATAATTATGTTACATTCTCATGGCCAGCAACAGTTTGTATTTTAATTATTTTGTATTTTATTTCTCTTTTTGTAATTTGAATTGTAGTCACGTTAATAAAGAAACCAAACTGTTTATAAATCCGTCAAGATTTCAGCGAGATAAGAATGTTTACGTTTGTGCAGATCACTCACCTTCCTTCACGTACCACAGGTTCCGCCAGAGAGCTGCCCCGTGGCAAGATGGCCGAAGGGTGATTCAAAATGCTGCCTTAAGACATCTAGCCTTTATTATACACATCTATGGTTGGACATCCCCAAAAACCTTCAAAGGAAACTCAGGAGGCGTCATAATCAAATACCAGAATCACCTCGGCAGGTTTTGTTCCAACACTCCCTCCTGATGTCCAAGTTCCTCCCTTCATCCACAATCTGGTTCTTTTCTCTTACTACCCAGCAAGTAGGGAAGGTTCCCACAACATTTACCAACGTTACTGGCAAGTTCCAATAATGTTTCAAAGGAAACATGTCAGTCTCATTGGTACAAAGAACATTTCAATGATATTATTAATTTCAAGTTGTTCCGTGAGGTTAAAAGTGAACTAAAAGAGAACTTTTTAATATTCAGAGGATGTTTGTAGGATTAGAAGAAGAAGAATAGAATTAGAATAAAACTTTATTGAGCCCTTCGGTACAAGACTTCAGGGAAATTGCTACACCAGAAAAAAAACAACAACGCAACACCAGCCTAAAATCAGCAACAACAACAGCATTTAAAATTCAAAATCAAAATCATTCAAAATCAGCAACAACAACAGCAACAATAATAATGATGATTATGTTGCGTGATAGCAAAAGACAAACGTTCTCAACATTCAACGTTTAAGGAGTCTTTTCAAAGATGTTCTCGAGGTCTCAAAAGATGCAATGTGTTTTTGTGAAACGTTTTTGTAATGTGATATATTAACAAAGGATGGAACATTTTGCCTGCAGTATTTTGTATGTTTTGGGGATGTTGCCGTTGAGAATGTTTTTCTTTACAGCACTCACTCAGTGTTGCATCATGACAAAGGCTGGACGTTCTCAGGGCAACATTCAGCAAATGTTTGAAGAGTATTTTAAGTGTCTCTTTACAGAACTTTATCCTGCCTTTAAAAAAAACATTCTGGCAACTAAAAATCTCCCACTGAAAACATTACTGGAACTTGGAAGAACTTTCTCAAAACAAAATCTCGCCACCCAGACCTCATGACCACGGTGGTTGGAACAAAGGTCAGCTCCCTCTTTAGCACAACAGTCTGGCTCCACACCTGCAGCACTGCTCCTGCTTTACTACGCTCTCCATTTGTCCTGAACAAGATCCCGCGATACTTCGCTTCAAGATCCAACTCCGCCCGAATCAAGAAGGAGCAATCCAGCGGTTTCCGGCAGAGATCCATGGCCTCAGACTAAGAGGTGCTGACTCATCCTGGCTGCTTCAAACTGCCCCAGTGCAACCCGATGAAGACAATAGCACATCTTTTGCTATCGACACCCCCTACCCCTAGTGTCACTCATTATTCCATGACATTGTTATTGTTAAACCCCTTACCTTTTCTTCTCTTCCAGACCCTTCACTCAATCATCTCTGTTCTTTGAAACTGTAATCAGACGACTTGATTCAATCGCCTGTTGTTAGCGACTATATGCAAACCAATCACAGCTCTTTTCTGTACTTACAAACTGTCCCCTTCCAAATGTTTTGCTCTGAAAATGTTCAGGGCGTCTTACCTTCACAGACTCATGCTCTGTGTTGGTAAGCACAACGTATACCGGAATACTAATAAACATCCACTACAGCAAACTTTGCATGAGGACTATGGCTAAATTTCTTCAACAACCCTAAAAGTCAAGACTTAATGAAGCCAACAAAACCACATCATTTGCAAAAAACCAAACAGTGACACTACCCTGGGGTTGCCAAACTGACACCTTCCTCACCCCTGCTAGATGATGACAATGACAAAGCGTGGCTTCCACCAGCAGGAAGTCGGGGGAGACATGAGGTGGTGCAAAAGTTTATAAGAAAGTTCCTGTAATTGGCCCATTCAGCCTTTCTGTTGCGGCAAAGGATCCTGCAGCTTTGACGTTAGCTCTGAGTGCACCTAAACAATACTGGAAGTAACTCGAGTTCTACGAGCACGTAGGAAGTACAACAACAGAGGTTTGTCGTGCTAGCCGACATACTAAAGTTTACATTGTTGATGGCAACGTCAAATGGAAGACTGCTCACGACATCGATTGAGCAAAAGAATTCTGCTTGTTCCTCTCCGAGTTAAACCAGTCAGCATCGAGACCTGTGCAGCAGTTTTTAAAGGTCACTGTTAAGTGCCTACTCTGGATTAGCTCATCTTGTCTCCCCAGAAAAAGGTTCTACAGGGGCGGTTCTTCCAGGTGGAACATGCGTAAAGCTTTGGCCACCCTAAAACCTCCCGCAGGTTTGTGCAGCTACAAAAGGCCTCATAACGAACATGACAAGGATGATAATGCACTAAAGACGTTGATGGTAGTGATGATAATGACAAAGACGATGCTCCTAATGAAGATGACGCGATAACGATGTTGCTAACGAGGAGAACGAAGACGGCGATGGTGCCTTAAAACTGATGCCAGCGGCACCTGCAGCGGCGTAATAAAGACGACGTTGTGTGAATGCGGTGGAGAGAATCCTCCAGTTAATGATCCCAGAGATGTAAATCTATTCATGAGCTCTTAATGTGAAGAGCTAATGTGGCCGTTTTCATCTGAGTGCGGAGCTGCTGTTCTGACGGGCTGACGGAGCCGACAGACAGCTGAAGTAGGAGTTCGGTGATTAGACTTTTTTATTTTTTCTTCTTCTGTGTGTGTATGACTAAAGACTACCAGGGAGCTGTAAAGTGCTCTTTGAATGGCCACTGTTAACCCACACTGTTAAACACAAGAATGTTCATCACGTCTTGCTCATTTCGCCTTCGAAAGTCTTTAAGTATGATGGCGTGTGGGGGAGTTTGTCTTCATGCTGAATCACACAGCGAGCTGTCTGCC